GGGCCTGCCAGCTCCGGTCAGCCCCGCCTGAGCTGGGAATGGGTGCGGTGCCTTCAGGGAGCTCCTTCCCTTTTCGGCTCAGAGGATGAGAAATGACCAGAACAGCTCACAGCCCTCGGCCAAAGCCTTGCAGAGCTGGACCCCAGAGCCCCGCTCCCCTTACCCCGCCGTGAAAGGTCAGGGATGGTGCAGGGCAGCCCCACAGAGCAGAGGGTCCCCTTTTTCAGCAGCCATTTCTCCCTGGGCCCGCAGAATTTGGCTTCTCCCACCCCTAGACAGACCCAAGGACAGCTTCTGTGGGAAAGGAGGGTGTAAAGCAAGGCTGTTTCCAGGCTATTTCTCTCTCTTCGTAATCCTCCTCCTCCACAGCAGCTGTCCCTGCCGCTCCGCCTGCAACAGGACCTGGGCCATCCCTCGGCAGAGGAGGGAGAGCCCCTCGCCCCGTGCCTTGGCCTCCCTTCCCTTCCTCCTCGTCTCTTCCTGCTTTGCCATCTGGAGACTCTCCATGGGGTCTGGCCTCGGGGAGGGTAACGGAGAGGCACGGAGGAGAGGGGGAAGGTGCTTTGTGGCAGGGAAAGGGAAAGCATGGAGAGCACTGACCCGGCCAGGCACTCCCTGGCCACAGCCAACTCCTGAGGGGTTTTAAAACACACGGTTTAGTACCGTGTTTCTGCTTGTCTTTTGCAACTTTTCACGCTCAGCAGCGTTCGTGCCGCTTTCGAGACAGCGGATTCAATGTGAATCACACAGAACCACAGAACGTGAGGGATTGGAAGGGACCTCCAAAGCTCATCCAGTCCAATCCCCCTGCCGGAGCAGGAACACCCAGATGAGGTTACACAGGAAGGCGTCCAGGCGGGTTTTGAATGTCTGCAGAGAAGGAGACTCCACAACCTCTCTGGGCAGCCTGGGCCAGGGCTCTGTCACCCTCACTGAGAAGAAGTTTCTTCTCCAATTGAAGTGGAACCTCCTGTGTTCCAGTTTGTGTCCGTTACCCCTTGTCTTAATCTGGTGGAGTGGCCCATGCACAGCCCGGGCAGCGCAGGGTTCACAGCTCCAGCGCATCCTCCAGGCTGGGTGGCAGGGGGAGGACAAACGGCCCAGTGGGGGCATCACTTCCAAATTCTTCTAAAACCTGAGGATACGGTGAAAAGAGAAATCTAGAGAGAAATTTAACACGTTGGGTAAATGCTTGTGTTGCTATCTGATTAGGAGAGGCAAGGTCTGCAAAATAACACTGAAGGATTTTGCTTAGTTAAACACCTTCCTTTCTCTCCAGGGAATCGGATGCTGCCAGTTTTCAGGAGTGTGAGCAGTAAATAGGTTCTATAGCGAGTTGCTGCTTTGGGATCATAAGAAATGTAAGAAGCAAAGGTAGGGGCTTGAAAAGGAGCTGGCAGCGCAGGCCCAACGCGTGTTACAGAGCAGAGAGCCGTTCCTCGGGCCCCACAAGGCAGAGCGTTGTGTAAGCAGGAAGGAATGCTCCAGTAGCTGTAAAACCTTTTCACATGTGTCAAGGTTCGTAAGTCACATTTCCCTTCTTTCTCTTCCCTCTTTTTCCCCCACCCCCTCCTCTCTCGCAGGCGGCAGACTGTGACTAGCACTCCCTGCTGGATTGAACTGCACCTCAATGGTCCCTTGCAGTGGCTGGACAAGGTCCTCACACAAATGGGCTCCCCCAGCATCCGTTGCTCCAGCGTCTCCTAAGGAAACATCTCCTGGGGTGGGTGGGGGGAACAGAGACTGGAAAACGGAATTGGCGTAACCCTTAGCAAAATGCATAGTGCGTAGGAAAGAAATTCCCAGCTATTGGAGTGACGAGAGAAAAAAATCTGCTACAAAAAAAAGAAAAAGAGGTGGGTTTTCTCTGTTTTGTTTTTTATAACTAAATACTCGTGTAAGCCACTTCCACTGAAACTGTTAGCACTTTGGTTACGATGCTACGGGCCATTGCAGTTGGGATTTGAAGCTGAAGTTAACGGTGATAAAAACGGGACTTGGTTCCAGCGGAGGGAAGCCCGTGCTCAGCCTCCAGCCGGGCCTGTGTGGCCGCTCGCCCCGAGCTGCCCAGGAGGAGATGTCCCATCCCACTTGTCTCGCACGGCCCCAGGCTGCTGTCACACAGCATCTCCAAAAACCAGGTACTGTGGGACTTCGGGATGGCTCTCCTGCCCCATCCACCTGCTCCACGCCTGGGACTGCAGCAGCAGGGGGACCAGGAAGCATTTAGAGCCCACACAGAACTCATTCCCCCAGTAACGTTCCCCAATGGAATGAACTTCCCACGCTGGGCTTCCAAGCAGGAGGCAGAGTCTCGCGTCGTGCCTGAGGGGTGCAGCAGATCCCCTGATGCTCTCAGACCGGATCGCAGCAAAGGGCCAACCTTTGGGCTCCTCCTGACGTCGCTGCGGTGACTTTGGACTGGAGCTGCTCGCAGATGTTGGTTGGATCCGTTAAACCTTCGTCCTCATGTGTCTGTTGCATTAACTGCCCGAAGTGTTCATTCTGTGTTCTCTGTGTTGGGTGGTACCTGCTCAAGTCTTAGGGGCTCAGTGGACCCAGTGGGCAGCTCGGCTCTGGTGATGGAAGTGAACGGGCCCTTGCTGCCGCTCTCAGCTCAGTTGGTGATCCCGTGCTGTCACCGGACTGCGCATGAACCAGGGCATCTCAGGCACAAAACCCCTCTGTTGAAACCTTATTTCAGCTGATGAAAACGCTCTGAGATGTGTTTTTGCCTGGAGAAATGGGGAGAGTGTGTACTTTCTTGTATTATAAAATGTTCATTTTAAGCATACATGCTCCAGACTGTTTAATATTTTTCCCTGCAGCAGCTGTCATGGCAAACAACTTCCACAACTGGAAAAAAAAACCCTTAGCACTTGTTTTTATGGTTCAGATTTGCCAAATCAGTCTCTTAACTTTGTCAGTGCTATCCAGTTATCTGTTTCTTTGTATCTGCGTTGAGTATCATATGTGTTTGTGCCAAAATATTAGAAGGGGGAGGGGAGAAAGCGATCATCAGTTTCCTATGGAAATCTTTTTCTTCTTTCTAATTTTATTTTCATATATCAAAGACAAGCACGGAAGCAGGCTCTGGCTGTGGGAAGGACAGACCCGGAGGGACTCGACGATGGTTTGTGTTAAGGCTTTGGTCCTGCTCCTTTGACTTGCTGTTCTAGTGAGAGGGGGGAAAACTGCTCTGTAAAGTGACCCTGAGCTTCTCTAAGTCTCATTCGCTGATTTTAGTGACCAGACTGGTTTCAGTGCCCACATTGCAGTGGAGGAAGTGGGACTCTGTGGTGCCTTGTGCATTAGCAACAGAAATGGCATTTTAGATTGCAGTGCCAGAGTTCATCGCATGTGAGGTGCGTGCAGGAACCCGGCTGGGATAAACCCTGACTTGGATTAATGAAGTTTGCACCAGAATCACCTCCTCAGCCTAACTAAGAATCGGATCTGGGTTTGTGGTAGGAACCAGACTTAGATCTTCTGCTTGATAAGGGATAATGAATTGTTAACCATCATTAGGTGCCTTTTGAGAAACAGGGTAAAAACTTGGGTTAAGCTCACATCGTCCCTTCAGTAAAATGCCCTCAAATGAAGAACATGAGCTGGTCCAGCAGTGCAGTCAGATAAAGTTGAGATTATCTCCACTCAAGTATTAATTTCCTCTTCTCACCAACTCATAAAAGCTTTCTGGTTTCTCAAGCTGCCTTACCAAGTCCGAGGGGAAGCCCTGTGCCACGCACCCCGTGATGGGATGGGGGCTGGAGACGGGGGATGCAGGGGATGTCGTGGCTGAGCTCCCTTTGCGTTGTGCAGATGAGAGCGAATCCCCATCAGGTCCGGGCCGTGCTCCATCGTGTGTGGACACAACCAGAGGGGAGAGACAGCGCTGGGCCGTGGGCATTGGCAGCACCAGGGGCGCACGTGGCTTCTTCTCGTTTTTACTTTTATTTTTTTCTAAAACTTTACTAAAGTAGCTTTGAAATGTAGCACAAATGTGTGCGATCGGCCGTGCCCTAGCTGAGATTACACACCTGTACTGGAGTAACTTCTCATTTCTCGGTGGTCTTGGCTAGTTTTACCAGGATGCCAAACATTTTTGTTACTAGTGGAGTCACTAGCAGGAACTTTGACTCCGTAACTGGTGTAGCCATACACAAGGGCCTGGCTGCTGGCAGATGATACTGATGGCCTTGTGGTTTTAAATGACTGTGGTGATCTCTTTTGTTGTATTATTATTAATGTATTGAACTGAATTGCAGTTTGTGTTTTGTGTTAAGCTTGTTTTAGAAGTAATCCAGTGCTGTCCATTCGATTTAACCACCAGGAATCAGTGAAATCCAATTGGAGAAATCCAATCATAACAAATTTCCCCAGAGCCCTGGCTGCCCATCATGCCATGAAAAGGCTGGGGGTAACCTTTGAGGAAGAACTAAACCAATTTGTTTCCTCTCCCCTTAAGGATCAGCGTAGTTTGAACCATGCCGAGGACTCCAGAATATTCAGGGCTCCATCCTGAGCAGCAAATACTGACCCCCCTTGAGCTGCTGAAAAGCAGGAGGAGGCAGAACACGGCTCAGTGAAGGACTTCAGCCATAGCACAAAGCATCCGTGAGCTTCCCGAGCTCCCCAGGGTACTGGGTAGGCAGGAGGGACAGGATTTCCTAAACAAGCTGGTAAGCTAGGATGAGAATTAGTCACTATATGGTAGCTGGTTGAGCGGTGTGGTTAAGAAATCCAGTGTATGTTTTTGGTTATGTACAAGCTTTTGTATTTCTGTTGTCTTTCTTGACTATTCCGATGACTCCAGTATTTAATTTTTGTCAGACAGGGCAAGTAAGGGTTCAGAAAATTAAACCTTTCACGTGCTTGCTAGAACTTGGGCAGTTTCTGACGTGAGAACAAGAGCCTCACCTCAGAACTGAGCAACCAGCCCTGGCACATCAAACAGCACAAGGACATCTCCAGCAGGAGCCTTGCCCCGAGTTGTCCTTTAGCAATGAGTCAGGCTCCCAGATGGGCCCTCCAGTTGTGCTCTCCGGGTCTGCTTGGATTTCTGAGGCATTGCACAGACAGCGACGTGTCACCCCGTAAGTCCTGGTCCATCTTACGGAGCCCACGCCGTTCTCTGCTGCCGAGACGCGTCTCGGGCTGTCCGGGTGGCAGCAGCCCTGTCCTCTCGCGATGGCAGCGTCCCCGTTGGTAGCGATGTACGAGCATGTTTGCTTTAGCGTTTAGAGTTCCTTAACCTGACATTTGTATGGTAACGCCCGGCGACGTCACCTCCCGCTTTAGCTTCTCGAGCATTATTCGCCTGTTTTGTTACTAAAGGCCTGTACTATGTATGCCCTCTTATTTCATACGTGAAACTGTAAGTTCTATTTTTGACATTTTAATAAACTTTGATTTGAAAACTGCGGCTCGTGAGACAATGAGGGTATTGTGAAAAGGTGTTTAAGGACGCAAACTGAAAGCGTTTGGAGTTGTGAAACCACAGGTAATGCAGAGACAGCAGCATCTTTGGGTACGTATAATGAGGGCTGTTCCCAGTAATTCGCATGAGATCTCAGTTACAGGTAAGACTTTAGTTCTTTTTTACAGTTCGGACAGTTTTGTTCAAGAATTTAAAGGCAGATATAAAAAATAATTTTAAAAACTGCCACTATTTCTTTTAACTGACGGGATTCAAAGGTGAGGAGAAGTGGAGCACTGGGGCTCAAAGGATTTACTGTCAAATTGCTGGAGAAGTCAGACCTAGCCCAGCATTCACTCCTTGCCCAGTTAAACCAAACTGGGGCTGTGTTTTCACTTCACAGCTGGGAATTGGGAAACTCCGTTACCAGAAGGGCAGTGGGGTATTCACTGCTTTGTCCTCAGCGTCTTGTCATGAGGCAGACCCTAAAACCCCTCTGGTGTCTGTGCTGAGGATCCGACACCGTGGGTTTGGCCGCTCAGTTGTTTGCTTCTGCAGAGCAGGGGGAGGTGGGCGGAGGGGCAGAAACGAGGTCCTCAGCCCACGGGGGGTTGGTTGTGCCCCGGTTTCATCCGATCAGAGAGATGACGATCCCTGGTCCAACCAAACAGCATTACCAAGCCAAGGCACACCATGATCTAATTCTGTGAACTCCCAATGCTCCTCCTAGGGTTTCACTGAAATTCAGATTTTTTTGGGTTGTTTTTCCTGACAGAGGATTTACGAGAATACTTTTTCCACTCGGTTTTCCAACAGTGTGGTCATAAAAGGGTCTCGTCCAGGTTTTGTAGTGGGGTTGCCAAAAACTCGAGCGTGATGCAGTAAATCAGCTCTGAGCTGTGAGTTGTGCTGGTTGGCACCTGGAATAGATCAGGGGTTTCTGTATCAGTCTTATCTGCACTGAAAACGGGAAGCTGAAGCAAAATGCAGGTTTGATAGTACATGAAAACACTCAAAGCCTTGTCCAAAAAGGAGGGGTGGTTCTGTACTGAGGCTTCATCCCTGTCTCTGCTTTCTCCTGGCTCCAGGGAGGGGTTTTTCTTGCCCAGGGTCTGCAGGAAGCTCGCCTGCATTAGAGAGGGAAAAAGGGGCTGGGAACCGTAGGGACACCACAGCACCCACCTTCGAAAGGACAGAAGCCTCTGTTTTTTTACTTCTATAATCTACTCATTGTGGGTGTTTAGGACAGTTTCCACGAGTCCAAAACACCATCAGAGTTATCCAGTTTTGTTTGATACACACTGCTATGACTGCATGCAAGTACCATTTTCCCCTTTTGATAACTGAACACAGCATTCCTGTACCCTTTAGTCGGAGTGGGACGTTTACTGGTGAACAGCGGCGTACTTGGAGCTTGTCGCTTTAATTTTACACTCAATTTATTGTATTTATAATGACCTAACAATCACAAAAGGAAATGCAAACTGAACTGGCTACAGAGGAAGACCAGAATTGGCCTCAGAAGCTGTATGGATTGTTTAATACAGGTAACAAAATCCATACCAGAGAGCAAAACAAGAGTGTTTTAAGTCAGAAGAGCAGTGGTATTGCAATGAATGCTAAGCCCAGGGAAACCATGGCATGTTTTGTCTGTATTTAAGGATGGATTAGTAAAACCACCGCACCTGAATGCAAAGGAAGACTGAGCTGTGTTTGTGACGGCTACAGAGCTGCCTGCTGCACGTGTTTCTCAAAGGCCTCTCAGCTCACTTCTGCAAATGCTCCTATGGATGAGGAAGTGCCAGCATCCGAGCGAACGCCGGTGGAGAGATCCAGAGGATCCTGTGCGCCTGCAGAGCAGAGCAGCCGCTCTGGCAGTTCTGGAGGAGGGAGGTGACTCGGAGAGCACAGAGATAAAACTCTGTCTGAAAGGCACGAAAGCAGATCTAAGGCCACTGGGTTAAACCAACAGCAGCCAGCGCCAGCGCGGGGAGAGCCGGGCGCGCTGCGCTCCTGGTTGGTGACGCCGCGCGTGCTCCTGAGGTCAACAGCTGCATCCAGCATCAAGCAGTAGGAAGATGTTTGAAAACGCTGCAGTTTCTACCCAGGAAATGATTTACAGCATTCCAATATTAGTTTAGCTTTGCTTAATCTTAAAAGAAGAGGCAATGAACGTCAGGAACCGCTGTGAAAGAGCTTTCAGAATTTGAAGTCGTCAAATAATTTATGGAAAGCCACCGTCTCCAGACTCGTGGAATTTGTTGACGTGGAGAACCAGACGTTGGAAAAGCGAATTTCAAAATTTCAAAACAAGATTGCTTAACGTGGCGGATTTTCAGATTGATAAGGAGATGCTCTTGGGGAAAACAAATAAATACAGGCCAGTTCCTGGGGCGCACCAGCCAAGTGCTAGAGAAGGGCGTGCACTGGCCACCTCTCTCTGCTGTACCTGTTAACTGTGGTAGGAAAGGACAGGATGGCATTTACCTGTTCTGTTCTCTCTCCTCACCAGCCTGCGCCTTCCTCCCTGTCTCCCTGGTGCCCTCCGTGCTTGTGCTCTCCATGAGTCTGACCGCGTGACTGCAGGGGATGACGACAAGGTCAGTCTCGGGACCAAGGAATTTCTTCTAACCCTTAACACCGTGCAGCAGCAGTCTGAGATTTGTGCTCTGGTGCCTTCTAAGGAACATAAGTCTGTAATAAATGACAGCGGGGGTTTGAAATCCAAGCTTTTCTCTGTAGGTCTGTGGGACAGAAGGTCTGTGCGTTCTGCTAGGCCTTGGAGGCCAGGCAGTGCAGGTTTGGGCAGCGAACTTCACCCCTGGAACAGCAGCAAAAATCTGTCTTGCATTGCACCCCAAATGTAGTTTCTAATGGAAAGGCAGGGAGTGTGGCTGAACACCTGACCTTGCCGGGAAGGACCACCTACTTCCAGATGCAAACAGGATTCAGAGCCCGCGGGCCGTTTTTAATAGCTCTGGCACTCAGCAGGATTAACCTTGCAGCCTTGGCACAGCATCCCACAACAGGGGACAACCCAGCAGCTTTCTCTTCATGGCTCATAGAAATCTGGTTTGTTTTAACTAGTAACTCAGCTATAAAGCTCCATAAAAACATCAAACAGGCCTACATCTAAACCGTGGAGTTTAGAATTAAGTAGTCGCTTAACAACCACCAGCCATATGTAGAAAGAGAACTGCTAGTAAATTTGTTTATTTAAACTTAACGGAGGAAACAATAAAAATGTTAATTTGAAAAATGCAGACTAATTATTATTTCCTCTAACTGCATGCATCGCCTTCCAGAATCCTCTGAGAGAGAACAAACGATCAGTCAGACAAAGCCACGCCAACCGTCAGGTGGTGGTGGATGTGTTACTTACGACAACGACGCGGGGAATCCTTTCACCAAAGAAAGCAACTAAAGCTAAATGGGGCTTTTCGCAATCAAGGCTCGTAGCAGGGAAAGCTCACTCTTGTGGGGTTGCTCTGTTGCTCACAGCGACACGAGAACTCAGTTTTCTTCATCCGAGGAGAGACCTTCGATTTCGTCTCTGTCTCCTCCGATTGCCATCCAGAACGCTTTGGCCACCTGAGGATGGAAAACAAGATGGGAAAGGGAGAAACATTCCCCTCAGATGACTGAAGATTTTGCATTTACCACCCCAAAAAGCCCCAGGAACTGAGCAGCAGCTAAATCTAGCAACCATCTGAGTACAATGCTAATCCTCTCTGAATATTACGGAATTTCAGCAGCACAGAGGCACTAATTTGGAATTCATGGAGGCAAATGGGATACAAAACTTGTGCTAATTAAGGTGTAATTAAATTTTGCTGGAGATCGAGGCTTTTCCACTGACTTAAGTGGAAGTGGGCTTATGTCCTCAGTGCCTGCAGGGCCTTCACTTCAGAAGTTTGGAAAGGGGAAAGCTTTTCTGGTGTTTCAGAACAGTGTGGTTTGTTCTTACTGCTCTTCACATAGGACCTCTACAAGAGAAGTAGCTGTGCCTTAGAAAGGAAAACCCCATTTGTAATCATTTCAATGCCAGTTTCAAAGCCTCACCTTTTCCGCGTGGAGTTTCCTCTGTTCATGGGGCAACGTTGCAGCTTTATCTGCGGAAAAGAACACGGCTCAGGTTGCCAAGCTTGGGAGCGAGCAGGGGAAGAAATGCCTCCTGCAGCTGTTTGCGGGCACACCTTCGAGTAACTGCAGGAGGTGCTCCCTGGTATGTTACCTTTCATTTCTTTCAGCTTTGAAAAGAGCCTCTCAAAGTTCTCCAGGTCGCCGTCTCTCGTGGTTAGGCTGGCTAACTCCTGAATGTCCATATCTAACATGGGATCTGAGAGAAATGCACGTGGGTTGGTTTAAAGTGAATTATTCTGGTTTGTCAGCAGTTGTGAAAGCTTTTCTGATAAAAACAGTGCTTTAACATCTGCAAATTCCATCCCCATAGGAGGGAAAGAAACGTTTAATTTGCTGGTTGTTCATACAGACAACTCATGGCATCATTACAGTGGTAATTAATTCTGATGCATTACATTGCAAGAGCGTTTCTGAGTTCATTTAATATTTAAGGTTTCTTGCTTATTATAAAATGATCTGCCTAGAACAGCCACAGAGTAAATTAAAGAGTAATGAGACCACAGCTACCAACACTCAACCTTTAGAAGGTCTCCATATACAACTTAGAGGAAAGTCCCATCTCCTGGCAGGGTTTTTATGCCACATTTTTAATTGAGAAGCAGCCGGTGGCTTTTTGGGACCATCCCAGCCAATGGTGCCTGCCCCAAAAAGTCTTCCAAGCAGTGAATGAGCTCACCTACGATGCTGTCAACCTGTGGGTTGTCCGTGCTTGCTCCATCTTCTCTGTCCTCTAAGTGGGGTTCATCTCTGTCTGCTGATGAGGGATTGGACTGTCAGGAGACAAACAGATACTGCAGCATCCAGTAACGCACCTAAAAAGCGCTGTCAGCAAATCAGGTGCCTCCTGTTTTGACTTCCAAAATGCACTCTTAAGCTGTTACCTACTGCAAAACCTGTACCACATGTATTAGGAAAAGCCACTGTACACAGGTACTACATGAAGCTTTTCCCTGATAAATTTGTTCTTATTTTTTTATCAAGTGATAGTTTTTGCGTTGCACAAAATACTGCTCTTGGATATTAATGGAAAACATCTTGAATGGAGCTTTTAATAATCTTTCCTTGGCTCCAGAGGTTTGTATGGGGTAAGCATTTCAGCATGAAGTCAGTGTGATCAACACCCAACAGCTCTGTACCAAGAACTTGTAAGAAAACTGCGGTTTTTCAGACTTCAAAATGTTTTCCAGGCTGTGAAGCATCTCTTGAGAAAGGAGGGGGAAAAAGAAAGCCCCCCCCACCACCACAGCACCAGGAAACAAGAAACAGTACGAGCAAAGAACAAGAACTAGGAATTACTGTTTACTTCTGCATCCCGGTTCTCTGCCGACCCGATGCTGCAGTTGGCACCTGCTAACGTGCTGAGAAGCCCAAAGCCCTGGGTCCTGTCTGAAAACAAACCAGAAAACACAGTATTATTACAGAGAGCTGTAAGTGACCAGGTGGGATAGAGAAGATTTCAGGGAAGACACACACGCACACACACAGAACCTTGTGAAACTGTCAGTGCACTTGAAAATGTATTTTAAGCAGAAATTTTTCATAAGATTTTTTAAAACTCTATTAGCAATATTTACTGCTAAATATTGCAAATAGGGAATAGATGTGTAAGCCACAAGAAATGTGAGCATTTGCTATTACTGATGTACGGTGGAGCAGCTCTCACCATCCATGGGAAGCAGCGCTGAGGCTGCGGTTAAACACAGGAAGTGCACCAAGTGCCTTTGCTCACACACAAATGGTCTGAATTGGCTGAGCACTGCAGTAACAGCCAAGGCAGTTTTTAGAGGTCTAATTCAGAAATCATGGGAGGACCCAGCCATCAAATCCAGTGTTTCTTCACACTGCAGGGTGCTTCGGGCTTTCCACATCTGCTACCCTACCCTGTATTTCAATGGCATTTTAGAACCCAACCTAAAAAAAATAGTTAATAAACTTTAAACAATCATCTTTTTTTCATCTAAGATACAGATACAGTATTTTTAAAACTCTATTTTTTTTAAATAATAATGTATCCATAACAGGTAATGTTATGGGTTGGAGTTTTTCTCAGCCATGTTTTCTGCTGGCCTGGCTCTGAGCAGTCAACGTTTGCAGTGACACTGGGGACTCAGGAGATTTTTCTGAAAATCGGAGTATTTAGTCACCTAAAAAAGAAGTAACTTATTGTACTGCAAACAGCCAGGAAACAATGACTGGTGCCAGAAGAAAGGTTAAGAAGATTACTTCTTGAAAAAAATGTGTTTTAAATTAATAATCCATTAATGACTAAGCTCCAGACTCAGATGTCGAGATGATGTCATTTTTATGCACTGTCCAAATTTCCTTGCTATTTATACAAAGCTTCATTTCAAAGAGGTAAATGTGTAACTAGAAGCATCGGCTATCTAGAAAACATGTAAACAAGTCTCCCTCAGAGAATTCCTAAGCCCTCATTTCCTGTTTAATTATCTTCTCTGGGTCCTGTCCTCCTCCCCTCGTGCTCCCCCACCCCTCAGCAGGTATTTGTTTGGCTCTGCTTTATAGGGTTTTTAACTGCTTTAACAGATCACTCGCCAAAGGTTTGGGAAGAAGTGATTCAGTGGAGCCGAAGGAGTCACCTTCAAAATGTTCAGTCGCAAGATGTGAAAGGCTGCGATGTCCGCCAGCCGAATTAACAGGCAATTGAGTGAGAAAAGATGGCCCAGAAACCCAAAAGCAGCTTCCCCGAGCTCCAGCAGGCTGAGCAAAGAGCTCTGAAAGTGCACAGCTCAACATTTAGCCAATTTCTGAGTCATCTGAAGATGGGACCTCGCAGTCCAGAATGTACTTGAGAGAGAACATCCCCGCGTTGGCAGAGGGGTGGGTGAAGTGACCTCATCGTGTAACCTCTCCTATCTCCTACAGTTCATCTTGTACACAAAAATGACAGTGGCTCCATCCCCCCAGCACCACACATACACATCCTCAGCCAGCATCACCCCAAAATGTTGTTCTAGTTAGAAAATGCTGGAGCCTTCAGCAGGGATCTCTGAAAAGCAGCTGTTTGTTTCTGGAGCCCTGGTTAGGGAGGTGGCAGACATAACACTTGGTTGCAGGCACACCCTTGAAAAAGCCTTCCTATAAACTCTTTTTATTGGATGTAAAAGTTATTTCAACTTCTGGGTGCAATTCAGGAAGTGGGTGATGCCTTACACAGCGTTTACAGCATCAAAGCCAACAATTATCTCACTCAACTCATTGTAGTAATCCGTGGCTCCATTATGATGAAGTCTTTATGGTTTCACAGGTAGCACTCATCAATATTTGTGGAGTGTTAGTGTGCTGTGCCCTGAGAATGGCTTCAAGATTCATATATGCTTGTCTGATAACAGAACGTTTTCCACTGCTTTCTCTGCTCTCCTTCCATAGGCTGACATGTGGTGATGCTGACTTCCATACAAAATTGGAATTGAAAAAGGTCAAATTTCACGCTTTGTTTCAATAACTAAGTTGAAATAGTTCCCCTAAATCAGGCTAAGTCTTTGTAAAGAGAGCCAGCCTAATGAGTGACCCCACTCTGGGTAACCAGCTTCAGCTGGGATCACTGAACAGGTATTTAAGCAGAAAATTGGCCCAGTACTTCCTTCTAGGAAGCAGGAAATTGGGTTTTTTTTTCTTTATCATCTAGGAGAACTAAGTTTGCTCTTGGAGGGACAGCTAAGGACAACAGCAGAGAGCTACCTTTGAGGGGAGAAGATGGTAGCTGAAGAACTACATGTGCTCTTCTGCACAAGGGGAAGAAAAAGAAGCACCTGATTTTTGGACTGAAAAGAGCTCTGAGACCTGGAGAACCAACAACTTGACAGCAGCTACAAAGGGAATTGCTCTCTGCAGGCTCTCAGGTAAAACTGCTTGGGTGCTGTCTCTTTAGTAGAGACAATATTGCTTAATTTACTCACAAAGCATGTGGTGTTACTGGATGTAAAAATACTTTTCATTCAACTATGCTATGTTTAGTATCTATGAATTGGTGTGAGAATGAATATGGTTCTCTACATGGTTAGAGAAAAGAATCAAAAGGTCATGAATCTTCTTCGTAGATGTGTGGAAAAAAGACCTACTTCACAACTTAAGAATAATTGTGCTTGGGTTTAAGACAAAACATCTTAAAATGATATGGGTTTAATGCTTGTACTTGAGAAAAGTTATTCCTGCTCTGTCTGTAAACTTAAATTCTCATACAAAGATAAAGCTGAAGTAAGGCAGTAACATTGGCTTTTTGGATGGCTACACCTAACGGTGCTATGAGCTTTTACTACTACACAAATACCTTAAAATCCTTCACATGAAGTATGACTGCGTGGTTTCTAAATGGCCAGGGGTTATAGGTAATTCTGTAGAAAAGCTCAAGTTTGATTTACGTGGCAGCCAGTTTCCAGGATCGGGAGGAAGTTGAAAACAAAAGATACGTTACAGGTTGTAAAAAGTTTTATTTTAAGCAAAATGAGCTCAATGATTTCCCTTTGAAGGCACAGTCAGGCTGCAACTTCCAAATATAGCACACTTCCTGAGGGGTTTGCAGTGCTGTGCATTGATGCTGTGTGGTTTCTGTACTGTGGAGATAGAAAACGTGGATTTTCAAGGAGCGTGACCTTTGCAGAACACACTAATGATGCACAGGAATTTCCCTCATGAAGAACATGTGACTAAGTTCTGTTCTGTGAAGTGGCATCTATCAAACGCAGGAAATATGCCGTTAAGAAAACCATTTTAGCACTAGAGAGATAACTTTACACCATCTCAAATGGCTACCTACTTCTCTACAAGGGTTACATGAAGTTAGAATCGACCTTAACCTCCTTCTGATGTGGTATGAGCAATACTCAAAAGGCTCCCTTAAACAAAATTAACAATATTGTCAGTTCAGTAGTTCTCATCTTGGTTCTACTGAGTCCCAGTAAGCACCTCGCAGTTACAGGAACAAGCAGAAGCCTCCCAGCACTTGAAATCATTGCACAGTTAAAAGATGTAGGAAGGAAGAAGCCTCAACAGTGGAAAATGGTACCCCAGGGAGCAGACAGGCACTGAAGGGTTGTCGGTGGGATAAGACACTGTGAGACAAGAAATGTAAGGCCAAGCACTCTGCAAGAGTTGGATCTTCCTAAGCTTCCTGCAACAGCTTGTGTTGTTAGAAAGGTAATTAAAGGTTTTCAAGAAAACGGAAGGATCTACACTTGCAGTAACTCTGGGCTAGCCACAGCATTTCCTTCTCTAATGAGTCTAATCCTAAAGTGATTTTTCCAAAATTCTACCTCTACCTCATAATCTGTTATCTGCAGGAAATTATCTGGGGTTGCCTGGCTTTTGTACTCTTAAAATAATTCTATGGTTTCCATGTACTCATGTGGGGTTTTCTGCAGGGAAGCCAGTCCTTCTTGCAATGCACTCAGTGCCTCATTTAACAGACATTTGACATCCTTCTTTGCCAAATCTCATCTCCAAGCTTGCTGGTCTCATCTGTTTCAAAAATTACTTTCAAAAAAATTATAACAAACTTGGAATTTAATACTTCTACACTAAACTATGTATCAGCTTTTAGACCAAGTTGATAATGACTACCTATTTGCTGCTAGAGTTTGATGAAACAAGCTTTCATTTTTCATTACAATTCAAAGAGTTAGGGGAATATTTTACTCATGTTATTGGTAGAGAGTGAATTAAAGTGATGATCTCCACAAAGGTGCTGGAGGGAGTGGAGCATCTCCTGCTGAGAAGCGGCTGAGGGAGCTGGGGCTCTTGAGCTTGGAGCAGAGGAGACTGAGGGGTGCCCTCATTCCTGGGGATCCATTGGGAAAGGGCAGTGTCAGGAGGAAGGAGCCAGGCTCTGCTCTGGGATGGCCAATGCCAGGACAAGGGGCAATGGTCCCAAGCTGGAGCACAGGAGGTTCAAGCTGAAGATGAGGCCAAACTTTGTGAGTGTGAGGGTTATGGAGCATGGCCCAGGCTGCCCAGAGAGGTTGTGGAGTCTCCTTGTGTGGAGACACCCAAAGCCCTGGCCGTGTTCCTGTGGGACTGCTCTGGTGATCCTGCTCTGGCAGGGGTTGCACTGGGGGAGCTTTCCAGGGCCCTTCCAACTCCTCACATTCTGGGATTTTGTGAAAGTACTGAGGGAACAGAAACAGATGCTGAAATGGGAATAAATCTCACCTGCTGCCTCTAAGCTTCTGTGTGCATCAAGGGACAATGAAAGCAATACCCAAAACCCTGCTATTGCATGGAAAAGGCTGAAGAGTGCTCTAGTTCTCTGTACTGGTGCAGTGGCAGCAGCACTGTCTCTGCTCAGTTTAAACTTTTGCTAAAAATACTAAGCCTGGCATTCTCCAGAATTCACAAAAGAGGAAGGTGTTACATAACTCATGACTACGTTGGACCACACGTTGGCATTCAGAGCTTGCACAATTCGTTTCACTCCGGTGGACTCTGGAAAGTCATCTAAATCAAAAGACACAGACATTACACTCCTAACAGACCAAAAACCATCACATGACTGAAAGTAAGGTGTGTGTAAATGCCTGTCCTATCTTTTCACATAAAAATTGATATAAATTACTTCTTTTGTTAGGAAACGCTGATTTCTTGCCTTTGCTTCATGAAAGGCCAAACAAATCTCAATCCCTCACTTGCTCTAGGCTTGCAGGTTCTGAGAACTGTGAGCTCTCAGCCTCTTGTAGAGGGATCTGAATTCTGAGTGGGGCTTTGTTAATTATTTAGCATGAGGCCTACATTGTTAAATTACATGTAACTAAATTTAATAGTAACAGTTTTTAAATTGCTGCTGAGAGCACGGAATCTTTTACCCCAAGATTTTTTAAATGTTGTATGGCATAAAAACAGATTATTAGAATTACTTTTCCTTCCATTACAAAGTAAAGAACTTCAGAAAACGGTTTAAAAAAGGTGTGATGTTTGTTAAAAACGAAAATGACCATTGTAAAGCTATCTCCACAACATCTGACTTCAAATGTTCCAGTAACCCTCTGAATTACGGTAAATAAAGGCTATAGAGAGCATTATTCGGACTTCAACTTATTTACTGCGTAGATCTGACACCCCTTTGTTTAAAGTCAGTTTTCCCATTTCCTCAGTTTAGTCAGCTTCCCATGTTTGTGCAGGTCTCACAAAGCAATAGGGGGGGAAAAAACCCAAACAACCCTTTGGACACAAAAACTGATCGCTTAAAAATCCAGCTCTTCTAGGATGACTCAGGGACAGGTGCAGTAATTGAAACTGCCTTTAAAAATAAATGTAAAGCTGTCTGTGACCCCTCAGATCAAATATTTTGCCCTCTATGTCACTGCTGTTTGGTTTTGTATCAGGGACATTATCAAGGCTCAGTTTAGAGTTCTTGTCCTTACTGCACAAACAACCGACTGGCAGTGCAGTCAGAGCAAGAGCTCCTGTTTATTTGTGATGAGCTGCCAGAAATGTCATCATTTTTAAACAGATATTGGCCCAGTATGTTTCTCACTATCCATTTTATCTTTTGTAAGTCATACAGCGTGTTTACAGCTGTAAATATGTTAGTCAGTGGAATACATTGCCTCCCATGCATGAGTAACAGTGAATCAATCAGAATCAATATTAAAAATCCAGTAAAGAACATACATCTTAATAATCCAAAGATTAACATCCTGAGTTGCTATTATTCCCATTACTTACTTTATTTAAATGGTAAATAGCTTGTTCTTTACAATTATTCAGTAGAAAAAAAGCTTGACTTTATGTTTTTAGTACTTCCTCTTAAAGCACTTCATAAGAAGACTCATAAGAGGTATCCACTTCTGATTTTTCTGGTTTCTGTAAATCAGAATTATGTTTATCCCTTCCTCCCTGACTAACAAAGTGCCAAAAATAAATGTATCTGTAAAGTCACGGGGGGCAGGGGGAAGGTGCCACCTTAGCTACTCAAGAGGCAATTTTTACCTATGCCTTTTAAAGGGGGAAAGGTAGGACTTCAGTTCTAGTATAGGCTTTTACACTAATTTTTTGTGGTCACGGCTATGTACTTGGTGAACCTGAAACAGAGCAAATGTTAGTGACTAATTCCACTCAAGCCTGGAAATGGAGTCAGTTATCTCATTTTGGCTCTATGGAGGTAAGATGTAAGCACTTCTTTATTGTATCACTGAAATGAGGAGATAAGACTGATGCTGATAAGGCTGTCAGGAAGTGCACAGTCACTTTTCAAAGGTGGAACATCACACGTCGCACTTCTGACTTGGCTTGGTAGGGTTTTTCAAGTTACAAACATACGGTCAATCAGTGATTTTGAAACTGGTTTATTTCCTGTGTAACAGAGTATCCTAAAATGTTTTTCACAATCTCCCCTTTTCGGCCTATTGTGTCACTGAATAATATTAATCTCCTTTTGGTATGTACACTTTTAAGTCTTTTTTTAAAAAGACAAAACTTTTCTGCCTTTGTGCATCTCTCTGGTTCTTGTTTTTCAGATTTATTTCCACAGTGGAATATAAATGCTTCTCATCTATCAATGCAGCCCTAGGATTAGTGCCAGAAAAAGGAGCAGATATTATTTTTATGTAGGTGCTACATAAACAGCAGCTGTATTTGGGAGGAGACAAATGGGATTTCTTGGAGGAAGTAACCTCCTCCTCCTCATGACCTTTTATAGCTGAGACTAAGCCTCACCAACTGGGAGCATTCCATGCTGTAATCATGTAGCACATAAATAAAGTCATGGCCCGTGCAATTGTTGAGAAGATATTTTGGTGTGCTTTTTCACTCTAACCGTTAAAACAGAAGTAGCAGTCCTACCATCTTCATCAGGCAGCTCCTCAGGGTTAAGTTCTACCAGTTCAAAGCCATGCTTGATGCACCATTCTTGAGCTTTCTGTCTGTTCACACCTGAAGTTGAGAAACAAAAATGCTTACTCACCATACACATTTGAGACTAATAGCAGCAGCTGAATCTTTAGCTACATTTTATTCCCTCAAAGTTGTTGGCTTATTCTGGATTGTATGGGCAAATAGTACATAGTAGCTGGTGTGGGTTCTCCATTTGCTTTGCATTTGACTCCAAAAACTGCAGTTAAACAAACTCCTCCTTTTAATTGTTTTTTTTCAAATACCATAAAATCAAATGGCTTTGCAGTGGGTACTCAAAAGGAAATGTAAGCAAAGTGCCACAGTGAATGAAAACTTCTATTAACTCTAGGTTTGAATCTGAATTAAGTTACAGGGACATATCTGCACCTCATAGCTTCTTGTTGTACTGCATATACTAATCTAGAACCAAAGCAGAGACACATTTAATGTCCAAATGGTGAAAAAAGATGAATGTACTTTCAGTTAAGCAACCAACAGTCACCCTCATTCTTTGCCAGAGAGGATCATACACATCCAATAATACAAATGCCTTTTTAGTTACCTTCCCATCCATGCTGGTACACCAGGAATGGGACACACAAAGCTCATTTTAAGCAAGCTTGTGAAATTCTGATTCAGTTTTGACTTCAACTAACTTAAGGCTTCTGTTCCTGGTCATGAGCATAACCTGGCTATTGTCAATCAAATCTCAAGCCCAGTCTTGCACAGATATTTTAAAAAACAATTGTATTGATTTAACTAGAAAATGAATTATTATGCAAGGTTAATAACTCTAGGTCAGGTTCATACCATTTTCAGATACTCTGTTGCAAACCAGGATCATGACTTCTGGTAACCACTCTTCTGTCAGGGGAAGCCATTCAGAGACACTGTCAAGTCCAGATTTCTACAGGGGAAAAAAATAAAAGTTATTTGGAATATATCCTCAAATACCTTTAGTTTTTAATCTAGTTTTAAATCATTAACACTGTAAAAATAAAAGCAATGAAGTAAGGAAATAGGCTAGGCTGTGTATCAGGTATGTTTAAGACACTTGTTCTAATCAGAGAAGTTGCCTTACACACTTCTGATTCTGGTGTTACCTTACAGATGAGTTAATCCTACTGCCATGGACCTCCCTTTCCTGTTTAATATTAAATTATGAAATCCTAGTGTAGGTTAGGAAAGATTTCTACTTAAGGCTGATCGTGAGCATTTCATTTTAAGCATATCTCAGGTGTAATGTGCAGTTATTCCACCTTCCACACTCAAGTGGCTGTTGCAGGGGCTAGTGAATTCCTCCCATTGCTCTGCTTTATTCTGAGCCAGCCCTGAGATGTCTGGTTAAAGGTATCTTTGCAGAATGTGTGGTGTAAACCCTTTCCCATCTGTGGTGAAAAACAGTTCCTTTTTTAGATATATTTTTTTTATCTCAGAATCTTTCTGGCTTTTGCCAAAGCACGGTTTTCACTGCTGCCAGCTTAGCAGAAACAATTTTGGGTAAAATGATAGCACCGAATCTTAGGTTTAGCTCCCTCGAGCAGCCTTTCTGAACTAGCAGCAGCCAGCAGTAAAGTTGGAGGTGGCAGGCTGGAGGAGGATTTGCTTAACTTAGTAGCATATGTGTATCCTAAAAACCTCTCTTCCAGCTGCAGTGTGATAGTAAAAGGGAAGGAAACTGCTTCCACTGACAGCAGGCATAATTTAACATTGATCCACTGACAATTAATAGAACAGCCTAAAAGGAATGGATGGCACAAGATGAAGAGACTATAATTTGTGGTTATTGCTGTGATAAGGCAACTATATCATAAAGATAAAGCAGTATTTTACTTACTGTTGTGCTGTCGAAGTACACAACAAATGCCTGCACAGATTCAGCGATATCTCCAGTAACAAGAAACGTGTTTGGTACTACACAGAGGTGTATATCTGCAGAATAATATTTATTATCTATTGTCCAGGGGTAAAAATTCACTCTCCCACTTGTAATCGCACCCACAGTAAGGTCATCTCTTCCTGTGATACCTGAATAAAAGGAAATGAATGAGACGGATGACAGAACCAGCATCAAGACAATAATTTGTCTCGAGAAGCTTGGTACAATGCCAATACAGAGCCATCTTCACTTAATATAATGAATATAACATACTTAAGGTCTTTAAAAATTCGAACTCAATTTGTTACTCTGTCCTAGAGTTTATTATTTAGCTTTGAAAATAGTTTATTTTCTAGCTTTCAAAATAAAATATGGTACAGAAGCTCTTCAGAAATTAAGCCTCTTTTCCTGGAAATGCCTTTTAAAGTGTTGGCATCTTACTCGCTATCTGTAAATAGGATGTGTGGAAACAATACCTAGACTTTATTACAGCAGCAACAAACCTTGCATGTTCATTCAGATGTAAAAAAACTGGTTGGCTGTGACCAAAACATGAAGGTAACTAATGAGAAAATAAACCAAGTTACTACAATTCAGTTGTAATTCCCATTAAATTCCATGTAGGAGTTCGACAATTAAAGTCCAAGGCAGTGCTTTGATAATACAACGTTAAACACTGCCCTTCATGTGCTGGTAGCAACCTCCACAGAACACTCATAGCGTGACAGCCACCTGGTGGAGTTGAATTATAGGCAGTAGCAGAGTAAATATCAAAATAAGATATAAAGTATATGGGTTTTCAAAGATCTTGGGGGTCATATTTTAAAGGTATTGAGACACAACTCCTGGAGATGCTAGAAAAGGCTGTTTCCCAAATAGTCTGGATGATAATTTGAAATTATGCGTATCTTATTAATAAAAAAGCAGGAAAAACTCATTGTCAAGGTTGCCACAGAAAGGTTCAATGATTTTTTGCAACTAATTTCAATTCTAACTGGTGAATGAGCATGGTGCAAAAGGCAGCACAGAGGGAGAGCTGTAAACCAGAAGGATTGTTTGCAGTAGTGAGGAGGACGTGGGGAATCTGAGGGAGAAATCTGACCTTGGAAGCAGAAACCCAGGAGGGAATCTCCTGTCCATGCTTCTTAATAGATGTAGCTTTAAAAATCTTTTTTCCAGATTAAGACAGTTTGAGTTTTTAATCTGAATGACATTAGATGTCAGAGTAACTGGTCTTCAGTCAGAAGCTATTCTGCAATATGACTGTCAATGTCACCTTGGGCTGGGGATGGTGCTGCATCCGTACCACACAGACTTTGATTCTGAACTTCGTATCCTCAGAGCATGAGCTTGTTCATATAAATATGGATGAGACTGCCAGTACAGCTAACCAAAATCAGACTTTCATTCTTTCTCAGCTTTTTAAATCACTCTTAAGCAGTACACACCAGTCCCAGTGGTGTAATTCCTCATCAAAAACTTGTATACGTGGATCTCTGCTTACCCTGAAACACCTCATAGCAACACTACAGTCACACAGCAGCAGGCAGCTCTCCTGTTTGCATTAGCTGATATTATGCTCTACTGACATGAAGTCAACACCTATGCACCCATCTTCCAGGGAAACACAAAAACAGGTGTTTGCAGTTAGTTTTAAACCCAGACTTTTCAATTTGGGCTACACAAATACATCAAGTCTACTCTTCTTCAAAACAACAACCCAGGTAGTTAGCAAAGCAGATCATCAAATGATAGCGTTTCACCTTACAGAATCTATAGCTTTAATGTATATGTTATAATAAAGGCATTTTGGCAGATGACAAGTTATTTTTTATGCTATAAAATAAGAGTTTTAAGAATGACTACATGTTAAGTGCTGTATGTGGTATAACTTAGTTCGGTATCTTGGGTATACAGGACTCTTTAATATGTGCAAATTGCTACTGGAGTAGGCTCTTCTCAATGGATACTAGGACCAACAGAGGTAGCTTTCACTCTGCTTGGATACAATGTGCCAAAGTTATAGCAACCGTGAGAGGAAACAAGTCAGGCAGACAATGACACTGTGCATGTCCAAGACACAGGGGTGCTTTTCCTTTCCAGAATTATCTATTGCCTAGCTTTTCAAATGCAGGCATAATCTTAATTTTCTGTCCTGGAAAACAGATGTTTTGTTTGGAGGTTTTGAAAGCTACATAAAATATGCTATAAATTTCCCTTCGCTGGTGTTTTGACAGTTAATAACTAACTAAATAAAAATCAATTCTAAGCTAACAGAATTGCAATCAATGCCACGGGAAGCTAAGAATAAAGTAAACCATGCAAATTATTGGAACACTGAAAATGGGCAATAAGACTCGGAACCAAAGGAAGGAAACAGGCTGAGGAAAGGAAGTCAGTACAAAAGTCACTTGAGTGAAGTTACCACCCCAGCAAGAATAGAAAAGGAAAGAAATTCTTATAAAAGATATTCAAAAGCTGATATGAAAGAACTTTCACATTTGCTTTGTAAGGGATCTTTTTTTTCTTATAAAAGAGTTCATGGACAAATTTAGGCCTCAAAGTCTTGCTAGAAGAATGAGGACGTGTCCCATTTCCTATTCCCCTCTACTGTTCCTGTATTTAAGCAGTTGTCTTTCATCCCATTGTGTGTCTCCTAACCCAGCATTCATCCAGGCAGATTTTGCCAATCCCCTGTGAAATCTCTCTCCCAGTAAAAATGGATGTTGCTCACCAAACTCAAAGGACCGCGGGACCTTTCTGAAAGGATTCAGACTTCTCAGCCTGCGTGCAGGGTTGTAACAAATTACTGCAAAACAGCCTCATGGCAGGAAACTAAACGCAGTTTGGGTATTTTGTGAATAGCTCTCTTCCACAAAAGTCACTCAGACCAATTAGGTTTTGGCCTTTAGAGTAAACAAGCAGAGACTACAAAAGAAATATTCACTGCAACTCAAACTGAGCTGTCGAGGATGTAGCCCATGCTGGAAGTAGTTTTAAGAAATGTCTTTCCAAGACAGCCTATATTCTAATGAAAAAAGTAAATGTGGCCAGAATAGTTTAATGTCTAATTCTTCTGAATAAACCCTGTCATTTTTATTTGGATACAGAATAAACTTCTAGAAAAGTAATATGGCAAAAGGAGGAGGCTTGTCGAAGTTCTTTCCAGCGAGTTACTCATTTTTAATTCTAAGCTCCCCAGCCATTGAAAGTGTCAGTGGTTTGTCATCCAAAGAGCCTGGAAAACCAACTGAGTCACTCTGACCACAACAGCAGGCAAGGCCTCCTGGGCTGGCTTCATTAACTTTTCGTAGAGCAGAAGTGGCTTGCTGGGATGACAGGAATGCAAACAGGCTCCAAATGCATCACCATCAGAGAGCACTGAGAACACGCATGGAAAAGTTCAAGCCACAAAAGAAACGCCGCTTAGCGTCATTCAAAAACATGCTTTGGAGTTCAAGGTCCTCTAAGGAATACTGCAACTCCTATTTTACTGAAATAACTTTTACAACCTTACCAGTAACTGCTGAATGCTAATTAAGACATAACATGTTTCAGCATCCTGCAATTCTGTACAAAAACGCTTTGGAGCAATTAAAGCTTCTTCATCCACACGTGTTATTTGAGGTCTGGGACCAAACAGACAATTTCTGAGCCAGCTCCAGTCCCGTCCTGGGGTCATCACCTCCTGCAAACATGGGCACTATCCACCTCCTTAACCTCCAAAGCCCCTGTACTAACACTTGCCTGCTCCAAGATCACATTTGTTGGACACAGACAATTATCTTACTCCAGTATATCCCAGTTCATGACTCGCTTTGCCTGTTTTCTATCAGAAAACCATTTAAAACACAACAGCAACTGACACACGAGATCAGTCCATGGCTCGATCCAGTAACTGAGTGTGACTGGGATCGTACAGCTCAATGAATTCCCAAACTTCTGGGGAATCTGTCCAGAGGAAAAAGTCTTTTTTATTCTTCACCTCCAGTCAGTAGCTTATGTTGTTCAGCAAATTCATTAGTTTTGTCCTTTCGTTACTCGAGTAATAAATTGGACAAAATTCTGACCAATACTTTTGAAAATTAATTTCAGCTATCTATTTACAGAACTCTTTGCTCATTTCACTGATTTAAACTTGTTGACTTTTAATTTCATAAGCTTGCATACAGACAAGATAAATTAAACAGTGCTTCAGAAGACAAGGAAAAGGACATAGCAAAATTGTAAAACCCAAGATCCATTCCCTTTTTGCAATACAGAGGCTTAGTAAGTATTCTGTAAGTGCAAGGCACCAAATACTTCGAAAAAGGAGAACTGGAGACCAGAAATAACCTCTCAGAAAAGAGCTGAATACTAATCAAAGTACCAGATGTAGCTCTCTTGTCACAGTGCTCCCTGTTTTCTAATATCCAACTGGTATTTAAGCACTTCTACTACATTGTGTGTTTAATAGCAATATTTTTTGAGAATCATTACAATTCCTCTTTGCAGTTTTTTTTCCTTCCAAAGGGATTAAGGTATTGATCACTCTTCATAGTGTTTTTCAGATCTAATACATGCTGTAAGAACATAATTCAGTTTTCTTCAATGCCCTACATGATCCCAACTCCCCTTAGTTGGTAGGTACACCAAGTAGTCCTCACATTCTGGGCCTTGAGAGCCACCTGGTGGAACACACCATAAAAAATACTCCTGCAAATGACACAAAGTGTGAAGAGAACTCAGACATGTGCATTCAATAGAGGTATTCTGCTGTGGGGGAGGAGGGGAGTGGTAAGCAGTTAAAAGAGAGGAGAAAAACAAAATCACATCAGTATTTGTCTGTTGGCCAGCATTTTTAAAAACTAAAACCATCAGTTTTAATTTGTGGTAAATATATTTAAGCCAACCCTATTCTGTGCATTTTAAATAGCTTTGTTTTGCCACAGTATCTAATGAAATAAATCATTCAGTGTATCCCACAGAAACTTGAAAGAATAAAACTATATCCAGCAAATGCATCATAATATTCTTCTCATCCTCAAGCCATTTCCTACTTAACAGGATGAAAGCCCTGGAAAAAGCCTTGCAATTAGCCTGGAAAGTTCTGGCAGGCAGCAGGAGAAACAGGTTCTCATACAGCTCCTAACAGCAGCTTCTTTCTCCT